AGTGGCCATCATATGAGCAACCAAGGATTCGAACCTGAGACCACAGAGAAAGCAAACCCCTTAGTTCCAAGTCTTTACCACTTGATTATCACCTAGATGGTTGAGTTCTTTGGTTCTTAGCATCACAAGAAACTTCTTACTTTTTGTCCTTTTGAACTTTCTACTTTTAATTGAATCAAATGAATCTCATCATTCCCAATCAAAGATGGTTTGACCTTTATCCAGTTAATGAAACGACCAAAATAGTTTATCATATCATGATTTAATAAAAATAGAGGATCATAAATTATTTTAAATGAAAATAAATGAGTGCATTGATGCTATTTGAAATTATTGGTTTGATTTAACTAATTATCCCTTTAATTAATTGGAAATATGGGGTTTGATTAAATGACAATGCATTTGATATTTACCCAATATATATATATATATATATATATTACACTAATGGGATATGATCTTGAAAATTTATGTTATTGGTGGGTGGCAAAAATTAAATGCACTAAGTTTGAATTGATGAATGATATTCACATTTCTATTACGTCCAACATATTTCAAATAATTTTTATATTTTATCATTATATCAGTTGATGTGTTAATTGAGATAAGATTTTTTGAGCTGGTATATATATTTTAAATAAATATCTTCTACAATAATTATTTTGGCACATTCAAAAATAAATTTTCATCCATATTAATTTTAAAATTTGAACTCAAGAAATCAACAAAGAAACAAACCTTCGGTTTATCTATAATGTTAATTGAAGCTGGATTATCCATATGAAACTTGAACCGTAAATAAGCAGAGTGAAGGTGTGGCTTAGTAAAAACATCAGTTAATTGGTCTTTAAAGGATATGAAATGAATTTGAATATCCTTTTTAGCCATTTTATCACGAACAAAGTGATAAACAACCTCAGCATGCTTTGTACAAGCATGAAAAATTAAATTAGCAAATAAATAAATAGCATTCAAATTATCACATCAAATAATGGTGATAAAATTAGGAGAGAAGTGGAGGCTAAAATGTCAACAGGTTTATATGACGCATAGTTTTAAAACTTAGCCCAGCCCAAGGGGTCAACCCTGGACTCAGTCGACCCAGGGCTGGAACTACACCAGGTTTAAGAAAAAATAAAAAAAGTCAAAACTCAAGTGACTTGGCTAGTTGACCCAGCAAGACCCAGTCAAAAACCCGGTTGCAGCCTATTGACTTTTTTTTTACTAAAATGACATCGATTTGATTTAAAAAAAAATCAAAATTGACCCAAACGACCTAGTCAAAACCCAAAACCTAGGCCTTGAACCAGGCCGGGTTTAAAAACTCTAGTATGATGACATACTAGCATAATAAAAGATATCAAAAAAATATTTGTATTGACTAAGCATGAGATCCCTATTGGTAGTAGTGACTTCAATTCCTAAAAAACAATAAACATTACTCAAATCATGAAGTTTAAGCTATAAAGAAAAAAATATTTGTGTTGAACTCAAAAAAAATAAATAAGAAGGTATCAATCTTGAAAACTCGAAAGCCAATAGAAAGAAAAAAATTACTCAATCATGTGTACCAAGCCCATGAGGCTTGTTTTAAGTTATAAAGAGACTTGTGAAGGTAAAAAATATAAGTAGGAAGAGTAGGTTCTATAGAACTCATGGGTTGTTCTATATAGAGAACCTTCCTAAGTGACCCATTAAGGAATGCATTATGAACATCAAGTTGTCAAATCTGCCAGCCTTTAGATATAACAATAATAGGAACTAACCAAACAGTGGTTGGTTTCACTACAAGACTGAAGGTTTCTGAGTAATCAATTCTTTCTTATTAAGTGAATCCTCGCACAACAAAACAAGCCTTGTAATGGTCAATACCACCATCAACTCAATGCTTGATTCTATACACCTATTAGCATCCAACCACATTCATAAAGGGCTTAAACGAGACTAAGGATTAAGTACCATTATCATGTAAAACAACAATTTCAGACTTTAATGTATTGTGCCAGCACAAAAATCGATCAGCTTCCGTAAAATTTAGAGGTTTAAGGTTAGGAGAAGATGTTACCCAAGATTCTAAAGATAATGGAGTGGCAAAAACCAAACTCATGTTGGCATACTTGTGCCTTCGTGAACCCAACACCATATGGTGTTGTCATGGTGCTAAAGGGATACTATACGTGATAGGTTGGGTCTACTATGAAAGAGAGTAGCTAGAGAGATCAACAGAGGTCCAAACCTGGTGGAGGCTGGAGATGTAGTAGCAATAGGTGAATCATATAAAGACACAGTTGGCACGACAGAACCTAAACTTGTAAAATGATCGAAAGACATAGATACAGATAGTGATAAGGGAACCAAAGGGACAGTAAGGAAAGTCCATGGGTCTGAGAAATAAGTGTAGATGTAAACACAAAGTGAGAAGAGATAAAGACTTGGTCAGACTCAAGAAAAAAAAATATTGTTCATAAAAACAGAGATAACGTGATATGTAAATATGATTAGAGGATAAGTCGAGACAATAATATCCTAGGTGAGATGAACTATAGCCTAAAAACACACATAGAGTAGAACAATAGTCTAACTTATGAGTATTATAAGGATGAAGAAAAGAAAATAGAGATACCTAATAGTACACAAAAAGGTATAATTAGGTAGTTGATGAAAAGAAACATTCAAAAGAAGGTTTATTGCGCAAGATAGGTGTTGGCAAAAGCGTAACTCTAAAAAAATTTAGGCGCCTTGTAGTGATCAAGAAAAGTAAAACCAGTTTTGATAATATAGTGAAGATGATGCTCAACAGTGTCATTTTGTTCATATGAATATGGACATATTAAGCGATGATGAATACCAATGGTTTTGTAAAAGGAATTGAATTTATGATATTTATTACCCCAATCAATTTGAACAAATTTTATTTTGTGAGAAAACTATCATTCAACAAAAACATGAAATTGGTGAAACACATTGAATATAGCAAAATTTGATGATAATAGGATAAAACTAACTAAATTTTGGATGCACATCCACAAAAATGATAAAATATCAAAAACCATCAATAGATAAAATAGAAGCAAGACCCCAAACATTATTAAAGATTAGCCCATAATGAGCAAATGTTTTGTGACTTATAGATCCCAATGACATACGTGATAATTTTCCAACACACATGCTTGACATTGAAAATTTAAATGATGAGAATTACACACAATCTTTTTATTTGACGCTAAGATACTTAGAACACGTGAGCTTGGGAGACCAAGTCGATGATGTCAAACATAAGTAGAAGTAAACAAGCTAGCAAACCACAAAGCTTGGGGCATGAATGTGGCAGAAGACTCTAAGAGGATATAAAAGTCATCTTTACTCTAACAGGAAAGAAGAATTTTCTTAGTTATAAGATTCTTGACATAGAAAATAGAGGATGAAATTTAAAAAAAAAAAAAACATAATTTTCATGACAAATTGTGGAACAAATAGATATTAGACAAAGTAAATGCTCATTTTGGAATATGTAAGGTAGTATCAGCTATTTAAATATGACAAGTTCCTTACCATTATCAACATGTAATTGATCATTACTGAAACAGGGTTCTGCATTTGTGTCAGGAAACCAAGTGGCAGAGTTTGCTATTAAAGCATCACTAAAAGAGAAGTTGGTCGAGAGATTTATTTTGATGAAAAGTATTATTTGTTAACTTGCACAAAAACTAGTAACTATAATATACTTTTGTTATTTTATCATTATCATCAAGATAAAAATAGTTATCCGCTTTCAAATTTAATTTTTAATCAAATTTAAATTACAAACAAAAAAAATAAGTTTATTTAAGATTTTATTTCTCACACACAATTAAACTTTTGTATTATAAATATAAATCAATTAAACTTTTGTATTATAAATATAAATCTTAGCATATGCACACGAGGGGAGGCCATTACAAGAGAAACCTAAAAAAAAAAACAGAAAGGGGAGAAAGAAACTTAGTAACGGCTCTCAGCTTCCCAGCCTCCCCAGCAGCCCCCCACTTACTCTTCCTCCCAGCAGCACGGTTACAAGGACCATCTTTTGTCTTCTCAGTCGGGACCTGCAAAGAAAACAGGATTCTTCCCCGTGGCCAGCCAAGTCTCAGACGCCAACCCTCACTCTTTGAAGAAGGAAGAGGACGGGACCTTTGGAGAGAGGAAGAGGATTAATTCTCCCAGCAACAACAGCAAGCTTCCTCCTTCTACACCAGCTAGCAACGACCGTACCGGCAGGTCAACGGTGCAACTTCTTCTTCTCCAGTACATCATCTTCCTTTATGCAATATTGTGAGCCGTCCAGCATGCACTCCTCCAACAATAACAGGTTTTCAAAGCATGAGCAATAGTTTTGTCTTCAACCGTGGGAGTCTTTTAGTTCAAACCGTGAGCTCCAGCAGCACTTGGAGTTTTCTTTCTTCTCCATTGAAGCAGTGACAACGGGTGCTCCTTAGCCACCATTTCCTCCTTCTGCAGCAGTTCAGTCCAGCAACAGCAGCGACTACTGTCTTTCTTCACAGAATCGTAACCTAGTTGCAACATTCAACGGCACTCCGTCAGCGCGGCATCTCAGCAACAGCAGCGCAGCAGACCATTAGAGAGAGAGAAACGAACAAAACAAAAACAGGACGAACACGAACCAAGGGAGACACAGGACGAACGAAAGCAAAGGAGAAAGACAGGAGGCACAGGGCGCTCAGGAGAGAGGGAAGAACGAAACACAAACACCACTCAGGGGAAAACAGAAAAAAAAAAAAAAACAGGGGACGACTGGAAAGAAAACGAGACAGAAACAGAGAGAAGCATTGGCCAGCCAACGCACAAGCACCAGCCTCGTCTCCGGTTGCACCATCCCTCCCTAAACAGACAAACGCGAAGGAGAACAGAGGAAGCACAGGAGGAACTGAGAGGAGGGAATACCAGTGGAGAACAAGAAGAAATAAAAGAGGAGAAAGCAGTCGGCCAGTCTTCCTTCAGCAGCGTCTCCATGGCCAGCATCAGGTAAGTTCTTCGCCTTCCCTCCATTTTGCATTTTAATTCATTAACACCGTGCACATTTGAATTATAATTACTTGCCTCCTGTGGCAAGCATGTGCACGCGTCCAATTCTGCCTGTTTGACCAGTCCGGTATGGACCTGCTAGGTCCATCCCAAACTGTACGACTGAGTTAAATCCTGCTCAATAAAAAATATATCTAAAAAATATAAAATAAAATTTTTTTATTTTTTTAATTTTAATTTTACAAGTTTATTTACTAACGATAAAGTTAAAAACATTATACTTTTTGAGTTATTTTTTTTATTTTTTTTATTTTAATTTTACAAGTTTATTCACTAACGATAAAGTTAAAAATATTATACTTTTTGAGTGGCACAATATCTATCAACACTAGAATTGGAATATTCACATAAGAATATTCCCTGATACTAGAGTTACGAATATTATATAAAGACCATAAAAATGGAACAAAAATAAATATTTAGTAATTTAAACAAAACCAACAATACAGTATGTCTCTAGTCGAACGCTTAAAGGGTGATAGTATCTTTCATTTTGCATAACCAGTCACATACCGTAGAATCTCTATTGATCAGTTAGGGTTCCTAGTGACCATAATACTAGGTGGTGACTTCTTAAACAAGAATTTTTTTTTTCCTAAAAAACAAGATGTTAGGTATTTATTCTTTTCCTATGCATTATAAAAAAATTTAATTGATCGTCATGACGTTTGAGTGTGACAGAATGGCAACTATATTGAGAACTTTTAAAACTAAGCTTTGTTATTTGTCTTTTTATTAGTATCTCGTTTGTTGTGCTTGTTTAAATTTTTTTATCACCTTTACTGCTTTAGCATGCATCCTTGTTTATATTGTTATGCAACTCTTGTTTGATTGTTTACTTGATTGTGGTTGATATGTCAATCTGATATTACTCAGGGTTTTTATCTTAACACTACTTGTAAGCCTTATATCAACCTTTTGAGGACGATCATTGAGCAACCAATAGACTCTTTAATACGAGATAGTGACCTATCCTAGTGATGCACTTAACGACTAGAACCAACCTGTTAGGTTATACCCTGTGTAATCTCACTATGGCTAGCCCAACATGCGGCATTAACAATTCCAAGGTCATTAGGTGGTAAATGGTCATCTCATAGTATACAAGAGTCTGAGTTATTATAGTTGTCGCACGTTTATAGCATCGCGGCGATCGTCCACCCCTCCCAGGCATATGTTTATATTTGGAAAATATAAAAAGACAAGGAATTCTTGTTTTTTATTAGTGGAAAAGGAGAATGGGAGTCACCACTTAGTATTTTGATCACTAAGAACCCTAACTAGTCTCAGAGATCAAATATGGGGACCGGTTGCATAGAGGGAAGGTATTAGCACCCCAAATATGTCATACCTAAGGTATGCTGCATGGTTTTATTGTTTGATAAAAATATAAAGTCTTATCGTGTTTTCTAATTGTTAGTCTATCTATGATTTAAGAAAAGTCCTCCTCAATAAAGAAAGCATTATTTTATTGGGTAAAAACCTAATCATTATATGTCAACAAAAAATAAAAATAAAAAACTATCTTTTTAATATTGAAAATACATTTTACGTATAAATTTGTAAGCTCAGATACTAAAATAAAACAAAATATTTTTTATATTTTTTTAAAATATTGGTCAAGTTCTCGTGACTTTAATAAACTGATTATTAAAGCCAAAATGCATGCTAAAATGGTTTTTTTTTTAATTTTTGTTGTATGAAAATATGTTATACTTTTTCTTTGAGAGACTTGGTCGTATGAATGAAAACAAACAAACAAAAAACATGTTTTTTTTAATTTTCCAACATTTTGATGAAAATCAAGTATTTTAATATCGGATTTATATCTTTACCGTATAAAAATACAAGCCAGTATTAAGAAAAATTCAGTAGAAAAATACCAAGAAAATCATAAATTTTTTAAAAAAATAAGAAAAAACTACTAAGCTAGGTCAGCTAGGTTGGCGTTGGCCAACCCAATAAACAAGGGATATGCTCTCCACTGTTCATTAGCAGAACAGTGGAGTTAGCGGGTATGGAGTTGAAAAAAAGGGAAGAAGAAGGAAACTGACCTGGTGGCGCTGGCAACTCATGGTGCTAGTGGTGGTGAAGGGAAAAAACAGTGGTGGTTCGTTGCAAGGGACAGTGGCAACTGTTATGGATATTTTATTAGTACTTAAAATTGTATTTTTATCAAGGTTGACCCCTTTTTTTCATTGTATTTAAAACCCAATATAAATTAAGTTTCGGTTTCTTAAATTAATAACAATCAAATGGATAGGTATAATTAATGTTTGCCAAAGATCAACGTGGTGGATTGATAGACACTCGTTGAATCAAAGGATTGATTGATAAATTCAACTACAGAAATTGAGAAGATAAAAAGAAGGTGAAGCTTAGTAAAAAGATGTTGGTTTAATCCAAATTAGAACACTATTCGATAATTGGATCATAACTAGAGTTGTAAAACTTGGATTTAGGTTTGCTTTATAATGATGAACAACTAAGATATAGGTCTAAAACTTTCATGGGAATGCAAGACTCAATTATGCTGTTTGGAAGTCCAAATCTTCACAACAACGGAGAAGTCTGAATTTGTCCTGCAACCCAGACACTATTAAGTGTTTAGCCCATGTCTTGTTCTTGTGGGATTCATGTGGTCTCTAAGTGTTCTAACACGGTTATTCTCATTATTAAGTGATTGATTATCGTCTTGGACCATATTTTCTAAAAATGATGAAGATAAACTAGAAAGTCTCTCACTTAATATACATGACCACACTCTCATACACGTGTAGGAATAGAATAAAAGGAAGAAGAAG